TTCCCCCGCCCAGACTGACAGGGCAGCCGGCCAATCAGGGGGCAGGATGGGCGGTGGTGGTAACGCCCGCCCGGCGACGTGCGGGGGAACGTGAACCCCGGCGGGAACTTTAAAAAGGTGACCCCTTCCGCCCGGGGGGGGGAAGGAGTGAGCGGTGGCAAGCAGGAGGGGAGGACAGCGTGCAGAGGAAGGGGAGAGCAGGGGGAAAAGCCCCCCCCCCTTCTCAGGAGTCCAGACCCGACGGCCACCCAGACGGCAGGACCAGCCCCGGCGGGAGGGGTGGGCGTCTGGATATACGACCGTCAGCCTGACGGACGAATCAAAGGTGACCGCCCCACGGTGGGGGGAGGTAGAGGGTCACACGAGGAGGGAAAGGAAGCAGCCCAGGGCAGAACTCGTTAGAGTTGGCGGGCTGACGAGTTACGGCAGGAGCCCCGTCAGCCGGACCGGAGCCAGCTGGTTCCGTGTCCTTAGGGCCCTGGGCTGGGGCCCGTGAGTGAGGGTGGGCCCGGGCCCCCCTTTCCCTCCCCTTCAGCACTGGAGGGAGTGCATGGTCAGAGTACCGGCCACGCTGCGACAGAGGGCGCAATAGGCAACTGAAATTCCCCGTCGTGAAAGCGGCCCCCGAACTGCTGTTTGATAGTTAATGCGGCCCTCGGGCTGAAAAGTTTGGAGACCCCTGCTCTAGAGACTTTAAACCTTCCCAGGAATTGTGAAAACGAAAAGGGATTTAAAAGGTTTTACACAACAGAAAGTTGTATGGCTACAGGTAAATCCCATTGGGTTTGGATAGGTTCTCTCAGGTCTCAGGCAGGAGAAAGTGTTAAAAAGCGAGAGTGATGCAATGTTTCAATACTGTTTACAAAGCTGCCAAAAATAGTTAAAAGGCCGAATTCTGAATCTGGGCTTTCAGGAGCTGTGCACAGTGGTCAGGAGTCCTAGGGAAAAGCAACACATTGCATGAGCAGCCTGAATGAGCATCATGACTGAGTTCACCGGAGGGGATGTTTACCAGGCAGAATTTGACCCCAAGGCCTTTCTGGAATATTTTAAGTTTGGGGAAGACACCTGGAGAGATGACTTTCTTATCTTCATCCTGAAACAATACTGTAAAACCTTCACTTCAGGTACGGCCTGCTGGTGGGGTCTGGGACTCATCCCTCGCTTGCCTGTCCTTGTCTGTGATATGAGGCTACGTCTACACTGTACATTAATCTTGAAATAAGCTATTCCAGAATAGTTACTCCGAAATAACTTATTTCGAAATAGCATGTCTGCAATATGGGGAAGGCTCAAAATGAGTCTGAGGCAGGCTTTCCTAATGTAGACGCACTATCTTGATTTAAAGCCCCAGGAGGAATAACGTAGAATGGCCCTGGGGAGGGGCTATTTTGAAACAGCAGCAGTGGAGTGTCTACACATGCCTTATTTCAAAATAGCTATTTTGGAATAGGCGTTATTCCTCGTAGAATGAGGTTTACAGATTTCGGAATAAGCCGCCCATTATTTCAAAATTATTTTGAAGTAATGGAATGGCTGTCTAGACACTCACATAGTTATTTCGGAATAACGGCCGCTATTCCAAAAGAACTTTGCTGTGTAGACTCACCCTGAGAAACCAGGTTATGAGCAAGGCTCCTTTGGGCTTGGGCCATGGTGAAGTATCTTGTAATATTCATGAGTTATTTGGTTTCCACGGTCACTCCTGACTGATGCGCAACAAACATGCTACAGCAGTTCACCAAGTCTCACCCTTCCCCGGGGGTGGGACTCAGGAATTTTCAACTGGTGCTTCTTGATAGAAGCCCACTCAATTACCTAAGGATTGTTGTTCAGCCCCTGGCAGTACTATAGATCCTCAGAAAGCTTTTTCCATCCTCCCTTTTCTGCAATACCTGCACCGTACGGTTTGGGCTGACACACCTGAGTTGTGTTCTCAAGCCTGCCACTGACCGTCCCTTTGATGTTGGGCAAATCACATCCCTTTCTGGCCTCATTTTTAAAACAGGGATTATGACATTTGTGGTCCTGTCTAAAGTGCTTGGAGCTGTAGGAGTGTACAGCACTAGACAGAAGAGTTAGCTATTATTAATTATTATATAGCAAATTTCCCTTTAGCATTCTCTTGGGAGTAGAAATGAAGAGCACCAACTCTTTTATCAAGAGCACCAACTCAATTACAAACCACTCCTGCAGTTAAATTATTGACTGCAGTTGCTTGCATCTTTTATTAGAACATTAAGATGATTCGAATTTTAATACTATTTTCAAAGCTGCTGGATTGAAAATGCCAGCTATAATGCTTCACATTGTATATTTTCTCTTATTAGCTATTATTGTACATCCATAGACAAGTGGTGTAATCCTGGGGATTGTCCTTAAGTACAGCAATTTGTAAGTTTTGTATTGCATGGCTCAGGGGATTAAATTAAAACTAAATATATATGTAAGTACAATAAAAAGCACATAGTAGGGTGTCAATTCAGAAGGGAAAAAGGCTGAGTAGGAGATTAGGCAGGAGAAAATGACTAACTGCTAACTGCAAACAGTAATATTCAACTTTTGCTCTATATCAGTTAATTTTACATTGCAAGGGAAGAGTTTGTGTGATCAAACAAGGTGAAGGTCAGAGTTGAACCAGGTTCACAGTGGGAAGTTCTGTCGCAGTCTAGTAAATAATCATTATTTAGAACAGAAAGACTGCTCATTCCACATACCTCTTCCATGTAGCATCTACACTGGCATCTTCTACACCACTACCTGGGTTAGTTTAGCTATATAGGAGAGGAGCTCATGTTAATTTGCATGGCAAGAAGCATTCAGGACTTGAGAAACAGGTGGCGTTTGGCCCCTGTGTTCAATGGGAACAAGATTAACTCTCGATGAATTAAAACAAAATCAAGTAACTATAACTGGAACAAAGTGACATTTGGTCTGGTTATGAGGCCAAGACCTCCAAGAGTCTGTATTCTGAACCAGGTGATGTGAAAGGGAACACCTTGATTGACATCGGCAGTGGCCCCAACATCCACCAGCTCCTGTCTGCCTGCGAGTCCTTTAAGGAGATTGTCGCTTCCGACTATACGTACAGGAACCACCGAGAACTGGAGAAATGGCTGAAGAATGAGCCGGGAGCATTTGACTGGACCCCAGTGGTGAAATACGTGTGTGAGCTAGAAGGAAACAGGTAAAGGACTGGAAAAAACAAATTGCCTAAAAATTCTTGGTGTATTGCTTAGTGTCTCTAAATAGCATCATCTGCGTATGCTGATCAGCTGGACAGTGAAATATACTCAATGGTGAATATAGGCAAAATTTTTGGGGAAGAGAATAAAGAACAGGAGGAATGAGGTTTTCAGTCCTGGTAGGGTCTGTATAGAGTCCCCAGTGGATCTCAGTATACGAAAAACCTTGGAGAGAGCTATCAGCTGGTAAAGTGTTGCTGAAGTAAATTCATCTATTTGCAGATTTTCTTACAAAACCAGAATTCAGACTGGGTCCACTGAGAAAGTAGTCAGACTTCAAGACCCTATTAGCAAATTGGGATGAGTTTTCAGAAACAGAAATATCTTAAAAACGGAACCAGGGGAAAGAGAACTAAACACGGGGTGAACACAAGGTCCTATAAAGACAGATCATTCTAGCAAACAAAGCTTTACTTCTAACACTCACACGCATATCACAGGAAGACAAAAAAAATGCAGAAAACCATTTAGGGTTCAGCTCTTTATGGTATATTTGTCTGTCTCTGTAGGCAAAAGGAGGCTGAGAAAGAGGCAAAGTTAAGGAAAACCATCAAACGGGTTCTGAAATGTGACGTCCACAAAAGCAACCCCATGGATCCAATCATCTTGCCTCTGGCAGACTGCCTGATCTCATCCCTGTGCTTGGAAGCTGCTAGCAAAGATCAGAACACGTACCGCCTTGCTCTGAAGAACATCAGCTCCCTGTTAAAACCTGGAGGACACTTGGTGCTGAGTGGAGATTTGGGCTGCAGTTTCTTCATGGTTGGCCCTAAAAGGTTCTCTTGTTTGGTGCTGGGAGAGGAATTTCTGAGGGAAGCCCTCAGTGAAACTGGCTTTAGGATTCAGGAGTTTGAGGTTCTTTTCAGGGATGATAATGTCATCGACGACAGCTCTGATTTCTCTGGCATGTACTTCATTCTCGCTCGCAAAGAGGAAGTGGTGTAAATCCTTGGGGCTCATCTACACTACAGAGAAGATTCAACCTGCAGCAATCGATCTTTCGGGGTTCGAATGGGCAGGTCTAGTTAAGACATGCTAATTCAAACTGAGAAGATGCTCCCATCTCAACCATTAAGAGTAAAGGAAGTGTGCTCCCATCGACTTCTGGCTGTGTGGACAGCATCAAAACATGATTTAACATACTTCAGCTCCAGCTATGTAATTAACGTAGCTGGAGTTGCATATCTTAAGTCGACTTTCCTCTGTAGGGTAAACCTGGCCTGTGGAGTGTGGGAGAAGGAACTCCTCCCTGAAGGAACAGAAATAATATTACTAATAAGCATCACAGTGACATTAATACAGTATTGTCTCCATTAATGTAAAATACATTAACCATTGATTGTGAAATATACAAGGTCCATGAGAAATTCAGGAGACTATAAGCAGCTAAATTGATAAATTGCTTTTTCAGGATTGACTTAACTAAGGAAATGGTTTCCTGCAGGATGAGATCCAACACATAATTTTGGTTGTTAATTTAAAAAATGTATTATGGTTTTTTAGCTGTTTTCACCCAAGTCTTGCTTCGGTTCTTGGCATCTTGGAAAAGCTCCAGCGAGCTACCTAGTGAGAAGAATGGTTTTGTTTCTGTAAAGATAGCCACTTATATAAATTTGTTTGATGCACCTCTTGTGTTAGTGAAATGTCCCATTACTCCTTGAAATCTGCTATTTTACATATTGAAAAACGTGGGGGTTTGTGTGTGTGAAAAAAACTAGCCCCATTCAATATTCCCAGTGAGGTTACTGGAGTGAGTTTGCTCTGTTCAAACCCTCTCCAATGTTCATGTCTTTCCATTGCTTTAATGAGCAGAGGCTCATGGGCACTAATCTTAATTTCCTGTCCCTTAGTTCAGGGTTCAGGTTGCTTCAGAAGTGGAATTAGATGAGATGGGTTGGATCCTCTAGTTCAGCGATTTGGGGGTGAGGCCAAACCCAACTGAGGTGAGAAGACAAATGTGATTTTTTGCCTCTCTCTCTTCCTCCCTCCCTTTACCTCCTGATCCTTTCGCTGATTATGTACCACTCTAATTTTCTATGGCCCTGGTGCAGACATCCTCGGATAGTCCCAAGGTTTTATATTCCCCAGTTTTTCATGGCTGCTCTTACAGAGTGAGCTGCCCCTGCCTGGATTGGTCAGGGAGGTCAGAGTTCTAGATAGAGTCCGGTGGGACTGCAGTTGGAGGCCTTCGGGCTCAATCACCTGGCGTGCGACTTCTTATCAGAGATGCGCCTGAGATGTGAGGCTCCACTCCATGTCGGAACCCTGCCACTGAAAGTCACTTCCCTTCCATGTGCCCGGGGGGACGTGTGCCATGTTTTGGTCTGAGCAGAGTCCATCCCCCTCTTCCCCACCCTGAGCTCCTGTGGCGGGAGCTGGAAGCAAATCCACCCAAAGGTTCAACAGGAGGTGCGATGATGTCACATCTCCCATGGCAACCCCTACAGCCTTTCAGCACTCACCCTCCCCTGCCCTCCCAAAAAACATGGGAACTTGCTTCCTTTGTCCATAGGTCATTCTAGTCCACAAGCACTACAGAGACACAGACGCAGCTCTTGCATTGCAGGCACTTTCGACGGTGACGGGAGGGGTTTTCTCACGGCTCTAGTGCAGTGTTCCTCAACCTTTAAAAAAGTTATAAGTACCCCCAGTACCTACAGTTTTCACACACACAACATTTTTTTCTACCATTGCGTCATATTTGTTTAAACAACTTAATCGTAGCCGGGCGGATGATGAAATTTTGGGGTGTAAAAAGTACACAACTAAGAAAGCGCTGTAAAACTTAACACAAAAATTCAGTTTTCTCCAAATTTCAGTTGTATTGACGTACCCCCCCCCCCCAGACTTCTCTCAAGTACCCCCAAGGGTACTTGTACCACCGGTTGAGAAACACTGCTGTAGTGAATCCGTCCCCTCTGGTGGCAGCTGTGTGGCCGACAGAAGAATTCCTCCATCCACCTCACTGCGTCTACCGCAGGGTTAGGTCAACCTAGCTGTGGTGCACAAAATGTAACATTTTTCACAGCCCTGAGCCGTGGAGCTAAGTCAGCCTGAGTTTTAGGTGTAGACAGTCCCACAGAAACCACAAGCATGATTCTGGGGCTTGTGGGGGGAAGAAAGGAGCTGGGGGAGTTCACCAGCTCTCCCTCGGAAGAAAGCATTCAACCCAGGTGAGTCTGGGCACGCAACAGCTTTACGGGCTCAGTTATCGGGAGCCCACGAGGGGGTGGTGAGAATATTTCACTCGGCTCCAGCTGTGAGGTTCTGTGTTTGTATAGCCCCGGACTCTCCTCTGAGAGGCTGAAGGAGAAAACAGCTGTACCTATTGGACACACAGAGGAGCCCGGCTGCTCTAGCACAAGAGAGTGTGGGACAACTGTGGCGGCTCGTCGGGTACCCCCCAATCCTGAACCCCATCTGCAGCAAGATGAGACTTCACCAACCAGTCGTATAGAAGGGGTTTATTGCTCCTCCAGGATACAGCACAGCACAGACGGGATGTGGTTTCAGGAGTCAGGGCCAGGATGCCTCAGACCCCTTGGATTAGGGGGTCCTTTGTCATCACTAGACCCTCAGCCCTCAGCTAAGGCTGCTTCCTGCATGTGTCCCAGCCAGCAACTGACCCTTCCCCCAAAACCTCCCTTCCTTTGTTCCCTGCCTGCCCTCAACCGGTCAGACAGGTTGGGTCTTTTTGCCTACTGGACTTAAGGCAGCCGTCCTGCTGGACAGTGCTACAGGTACCGGCCAGCAGGGGTCACCCCAGCCCACACACAGCCACCGTGGATGCCCAGAGGGTGTGGCCTGCCCACTACATCACGACTTGATGAGTTTAGAGCCCACCGGAATATCTCGTCTGACCTCCTGTGTATCGCAGGTCGCTGATGCTGCCCCGCATCCGCACCTGAACCCAGCTTCCAAAATGACCTTTCACAGCTCTCAGGAGACTCAACTAGCCTGGGCCACATGCAGAGTCTGGAGTGGGACCACGGTGGGCCGCTGCTTCTCGGAGAAGTCCACGCGCCCTGGGAACTGACTGAGAAAGGAGCCAATGCTGCAGCTGGACAGGAGACTGCCCGTGCACGGTGGAGCTTACATTCGGCCTGATCCTTCTTTCTCCCTGCCCCCACGCGCTGGAGCGTGGGTGCCTGTCACAGGAACCGAGCTGAGTGTCTCACTGTGCATGTGTGGGGGAAGGAGCATTGCGGGAGCCCCTAGCATGCTTCGGGACCCATTCCCAACACACAGAGGTTGTATCGATTTCAAGTCATTTGACCTTTTCCCTTGAAATCAACTGTGACTTTCTGCCAATCTGAACAGCTCAGATCAATAGCCCCTGAGCCTTTGCTACTCGCAGGGCTGTGAACCTTTTCAGGGGCAGAGTCCAGATGCTAGGTCAGTTCATGCAGAGTGCAAACGTACCGGCTCTGATTGTGGGGTGCGAGGTCACCGTGGGAACCGGAGCAGGGTCTGCGCTGTCACACCCCTTAACACCGACTGAGCTGAGATCTCCTTGAAAGTTTTAGTGGCAAAGCCACGGAAGCGAGCGGGAATTGGGCTATTGCCCTGCATGAAAGCAGGGCATGATTTGAACTGGGGAAAAAGGTACTGGAAAAACAGCCCAGTGTAATTCCGACACAGCTGCATTTAGCCTGGTGCAGATACGATGAGCTTGAAGAATTCCCCACTCTGAACCAGGAGATATAA